TACTATTACTATTATTATTACTATTATTATTATTATTATATATTATTATTATTATTATTATTATTATTATTATTATTATTATTACTATTATTATTACTATTATTATTATTATTATTATTATTATTATTATTATTATTATTATTATTATTATTATTATTATTATTATTATTATTATTATTATTATTATTATTATTATTATTATTATTATTATTATTATTATTATTATTACTATTATTATTATTATTATTATTATTATTAGCATTTTTTCCCCGTGCGATGCACGGGCTATTATTTCAAAAGTGAAAAAAATAATCAATTTAATACATAAAACGAAGATGTCGTACACTAACATAGTAAAATTTAATAATGTAGTATTATTCATATTTTATATAACATTGTTTTTTTTTTAAATCTGACATATTAAGATTTATAATCCAAATATGTAGATCAGGATTTTAAAAAATCGTATTTATATATTTATCTCTTAAGATTTGAGATATATTGATGAAAAATAGGAGATTGATAATTGTTAAAAATTATAGTTAGAAATTAGTAGAGAACAAATATTAAAAATAAATAATTACAGAAATACCATTAGGGTTTTTTAGGGTTGCCCAGCGTTTCTTTCTTTTATATATAAGATAAGATTTGTCATTTGATAATATAAAGCATAAATTATGAAAACTCCCCTAACATAGATTAAATTATGAAAAACAACTTCCACCTATTTGTAATTATCAAAATTTCCTCGATGTTTGTTTCCATATTACACCGATCTCTTGCGGGTGTGATTTTTCACGAAAATTCCAGGGAATATTTATCAAAAAATATCGATTCTACCCTTGCAGACACGACATTTCTTTATGCTACTTCTTAAAGATAACAAATACCCTTTGGGAGCCCTTTGCACGGAATATTTATTATTTTACATGACATTTTCACAACTTTTTAGTATTAACATTATCCATTTCAGACTATTTTTTACCTTAAAAAGTAGCTAAATAAATGCCACATCTGCAGGAGTGGATTGACATTTTTCGAAAAATATTTTCTGAAATAAAAAAGATTCAGTGAAAAATCACACTATAAAGGAGTCGGTGTAAGACATAAACAAACATCGGGGGATTTTAGTAATTATAGATAGGTGGGGGCATTTTTTATAATTTAGTCTAAGTTATGGAGTGGGGGGTTTTGTAATTTACCCATAAAATATTTAATAATTAATGTTAAAAAAGACAAACAGTGAGAATGTTTGGATTCAGACAAAAGATAAGCAGAAGCCAGAAGCCAAATCCCAATACACGCATGTTGTCTTTGTATTTTGCAAACACACCCTCCGATGCAAAATATATACACAACGAACCCATGATGATTGCTATCTTTCTTAACTTGTGTGTATTGTGTGTGTATATGCCCCATATATATACTATAACTGATTTTCACCTCGATAGTTGAATCTTTTAGCAATAAAATTTCTGACTTTGAATTATTGTTTTTTTTTCCCTTACGAATTATCTATAATTTATTTCATTTTGTTGAAAATAATAAATTTATGTGCAAACTTGTTAGGCTTCGTCGATACTATAAAGGGTTTGCATATTTACGAAAATTTCCAACTCTCTTCCATTACGATCGGCGGCGGAGCCCGGATTTGTTGTACGTAAGAGTGGGACTAAAGTTTTATGGAATTTCAAGGTGGCGCCCTCGAATTTTTTTAAGAGATTTTTTAGAAAATATAGCGGTAAAATAAATTGAAATTGTATATTTTAATTAAATTATATAAATGCAATAGTATATTTTTCAAAATATAATTATTGGAGCTCTTTAAACTACGGTACACAATAGTTAATGAGGTAATTAAATTGGATTACTGTTAATATAAAAGGATTAACTAAACATGATTAACATTAAAATATTGCATTAAAAAAAAAAAAGTGAATCAGGGTGGACTTCAGCACATCCTGGAGTGAACATAGCCCCGCCCCTGATTATGATACTAAAATATTCAAAATTTGAAAGTTTTAGAACGAAAGAGAAACAAGTCGATGCGCAATTATTAACTAAAAAATAGAATTTTACAAGAATAAAGTAAACCGAAAATTGAGTCGTTATATATATGGATGTGTGTAAAATACATACAGATCCATTTACGAGAAAACTTCATCGAGTTATATTCTATCATACACGTGTTTAGATCCGTTCATTTTTTCAAACATATATGTGATTGTGTATAAATCAAATATAAGAGAAAAAATAATTCACTATACTTCACAAATGTAGATTTTAGTAAGAATGCAAGTTGCTTTAAATTTAAAATTCCAAGAATTGGAAAGCTTCAAAAAGGAGCCAAAGGAAAAAAAACCACTCCAAGCACAAGCATGATTGAGGGAATTTTCTTTTTTCCCCCATCAACTTTTGAATATTTATTTATTTATTTATTTATTATTTATCACAATTTAACTTTATAACATATTCTTTTCTTGATCTTTGGTGGACAAGTGGTAGGCATGTTACTACAAAACCCTCTTCTTTCTTTCTTTTTCTTCTTAAGTCCTGACACAAAGCTATTCTAGTATCTTACACCAAATTTCATAAACAAATTGTACTATTCTTCCAAGATTTTGTTCAATCCTTCAAAACCAAACAAAAAAAAATAATAATTACCAACTCCCAATAAAAATAATTTTTACTACAAACTTTCTGAATTATTCAATGGCTATAGTATTTGTGGCTTTGTTCTGCTTGTGTTCTTGTTCATCAGCTCTGCTCACACCTAATGGTGTCAACTTTGAAGGTCAGTATGTGTAATTCAACTAGTATAAATTATTACACAAATTGTCTTATTATTATTATTATTATTTATTATTTATTTATTATTATTTTTTTTTTGAATTTTCAGTGCAAGCATTAATGGAAATAAAGAAGGCTTTGAGTGATCCTCATGGAGTTCTTAACTGGGATGAAAACTCTGTTGATCCATGTGGCTGGACTATGATTGGTTGTTCTCATGATAATCTTGTTATTACACTGTAAGCTAATATTTATATATATATATATATATTTTTGTAATTAAGATTAATATTTCACATTATTTATTTTTTGCATAATTCAAGTGATCTCAAAATTATTATTGAAGTGCATAACAACAATCTTGCAGCGCAATACCAAGCCAAAGTTTATCGGGGACGATATCGCGAAGTATCGGAAACTTGACACACCTCACAAGTGTGTGAGTAGCTACAAAAAACAATAAAAATTTAAAAATTAATTTAAAACAATATAGAATCAAGATGATATATAGTTTTTAACAGAATTTTTTTTTTTTTAATTTTTTTTGCAGACTATTGCAGGATAATAATATATCAGGGGCAATACCGTCTGAGTTGGGAAAATTACAAAAACTTCAAGAACTTGATCTTTCTGATAATTTGCTTACTGGAGAAATACCATCTTCTCTATCTCAATTGAGAAGCCTCCAGTACATGTAATTAATCTCATTTTTACCCTCACTTTTCGTCTTAAAAATTTTCGTATTTTTATTTATTATTTATTAATTATTAATTATTAATTATTAATTTATTTGGAAACAGGAGGTTGAACAATAATAGCCTTGGTGGAGTTGTTCCTTTGTCTTTGGGAAACTTGACTCAGCTAAATTTTCTGTAATAAAGTTTCTAAATTCCCATATTTACTTGTTTGGTGTAAATAAATATTTTACTGCAGTGTTTTTTTGTTGCTGTTTTGATCTGATTTGAATATTGGTTTGGTTATGTTTTTTTCTATAATGTTTCAGGGACTTGTCATTCAATAATTTAAGTGGGCCAGTGCCAACTCTTCTTGCCAAAACATTCAAGTAAAATTTTTACTTTTTATTTATTTTATTATTATATTTTTGGGTAAATTACTGCCGAACCATGAGGTAATGTCAAATTACGAACGACAAAAAAACGCCTCATGTTTGGGTAATTAACAACTACGGACTACCCCTCAACTATGAATCTTCTTACTCGTCCTCCATTGCAGTGTCAAAGTTAGTGGAATCTTCTAGTTTATGTGGAATACTCTCCAGTTTGTACCTATTTTACCCTACTTAAGCTCTATATTTTGAAACAAGATAATCATAAGATATGCCTTTTGGCTTGCAAATATCAGATTGTTTGTGGTGTCAGAAACTGCATTTTCGCATAAAACGAGTACAAGAAGAATAAGAAGATTCATAGTTGAGGGATGGTTGTAAATACCCGAACATAAAAGGTTTTTTCGTAATTTGACCTTACCTTAGTCGGATGGTCGTAATTTAGCGTGTATGATTATAAGGCACCTATGTTGATATACATGTAATGTTTGATAATTACAGTGTTGTAGGAAATCCAATGATATGTGCAACTGGGAAAGAGCCACAGTGCAATGGAACTTCACCATTGCCTCTATCTTTCTCTCAAAACAATTCACAAAGTAAGATTTCAGAAATTAAATTACCAGCTTTTGTACCAATTCATTAAAATCAAAAAAATTAACATTGTCCATTTATCTTTGTTTTTTATTTCTTCAAAAGATCAACCAACAAGGCCAACCGGTCACCGAATCGCTTTAGCCTTCGGCTCAAGCCTCGGCTGCATCGCCCTACTTATTCTCGGATTCGGTTTTCTTCTCTGGTGGCGACACAAACACAACCAACAGATCTTTTTCGACGTTAACGGTACATATATATATATATATATAAAAAAAATAAAAAAAAAATAACTAGTAATAGTCCCTCAATATATCGAATTTTTTTTTTTAAAAAATCACGTTAAAATTTCAGAGCAACACCATGAAGAAGTGGCCCTAGGAAACCTGAGAAAGTTCCAATTCAAAGAGCTTCAGACAGCAACACACAATTTCAGTAGCAAGAACATTCTCGGAAAAGGCGGCTTCGGAAACGTGTACAAGGGGCATCTACACGACGGAACAATTGTGGCGGTGAAGCGCCTCAAAGACGGTAATAACGTAGGCGGTGACACTCAATTTCAGACGGAAGTCGAAATGATTAGCCTCGCGGTTCACAGAAACCTCCTCCGTCTATACGGCTCTTGCATAACTCCAACTGAACGCCTCCTCGTTTATCCCTACATGTCCAACGGAAGCGTCGCCTCCCGTCTCAAAGGTAATTAGAAGAAAAAAAAAAACCCCACTAAATATCGTTTCAATTTTAGTTGTATCATAAATCCAAGATTATGCGTAATTTTGCCATCTGATCAATAATGTAGCCGATTAAAGTTGGGTTAGAAAACTAAACGGCTTCAATTTTGATGTAAAATGGTCAAAACCAGGTTTTAAGTAAATTTATTGTGGGTTAGGGCATTGTTCGTTCATTCATCCATAACTTACTCACACGACATCCAATCTAGTTGATTTAAGTTGGATCAGAAAGCCTCCTCAAAGACTACAAATTTGGTGCTTCGAGTTTTGCCAAATTCGGATTGAAAAATGGCCAAAATCATATTTGGAGTAGAAATAGTACCATTAAAATTGAAACGACATTCAACGCTCAGTTTCATATTATTTGTCTCTTTACAGATTTTTTTGCCATATTATCTGTCATTTAAGAGTTTCAATAATGCATTTTTTTTTCGTGTTATGCCGTTATTAGTTCGACTCTATTAAATATTAACTCTCTCTTACCAACTCATCAAATAGTAAATGATATTTGTTCTAAATTCAACCATATTTAGTAACTTTCATACTATGTGTTTAAAAATCTTAAAAATAATAGTTATAACGGAACAGATGGAGTGTAACATAACACTCGATTTTGTGTGGTCGTGCTATATATAATAGGAAAGCCGCCCCTCGACTGGGGTACGAGAAAAAGGATAGCATTGGGAGCGGCAAGGGGTCTCTTATACCTACACGAGCAATGCGATCCAAAGATCATCCACAGAGACGTCAAAGCAGCAAATATACTCCTCGACGACGACTGCGAAGCAGTTGTCGGAGATTTCGGACTAGCAAAGCTTCTCGACCACTGCGACTCCCATGTCACGACAGCTGTCCGTGGGACCGTGGGCCACATTGCACCCGAGTATCTATCCACCGGACAGTCGTCTGAGAAAACAGATGTTTTCGGATTCGGAATTCTTCTGTTGGAACTCATCACGGGCCAGAGGGCTCTAGAATTTGGCAAAGGATCAAATCAGAAAGGAGCCATGCTTGACTGGGTGAGCACAACTTCTTATTTTTTATATGAGTTTATTGCATTTAGTACCTTTGTGTTATATCGAATTGCTAAAAACACCCCTTATGTTACAAATATTAGCAAAATACCCCTTATACTGCATTTTTTCGCACACAACCCCAATACCACTGTATTATATCGAATTGCTGAAAACACTCTCTATGTTACAAATATTAGCAAAATAACTGCCACGCTGCATTTTTTCAGCTCACAATTCCAGTACCCCTGTATTATATCGAATTCCTAAAAATACTCCCTATGTTACAAATATTAGCAAATTACCCCTTATGCTGCATTTTTTCAGCACACAACCCAGTATCCTTTATCATATCGAATTGCTAACAACACTCCCAATGTTACAAATATTAGCAAAAAATCCCCTATTTTACTAATGTTAGCAAAATACTCCTTGTGCTACATTTTTTCAGCACACAACCCCAGTATCCCTGCATTATATCGAATTGCTAAAAACACTCCCTATGTTTCAAATATTACCAAAATACCCCTTATGCTGCATTTTCTTAAGCACACAACTCCCTAAAACGGTGAGTTTCTAAAAGGTAGACTCGAGATATTTGCTAATATTTATAACACAGAGGGTGCAGAATGAAATAAAACCCATTTTTATATAATTATTTTATTTTCTTGGAATGAAAATGATTATAAAAACACGTCTAATAATGTTATGTATATGGATTTTTGAAGGTGAGGAAAATTCATCTAGAGAAGAAGCTTGAGTTGTTGGTGGACAAGGGTTTGAAGATGAACGGGTACGACGGGATGGAGGTGGAGGAAACGGTACAGGTGGCGTTGCTCTGCACGCAGTACCTACCGAGCCATAGGCCGAAGATGTCTGAAGTTGTACGCATGCTCGAAGGAGACGGACTTGCGGAAAAATGGGAGGCTTCGCAGAGAGCGGAGGCGATGAGGTGTCGGGCTAATAACGAGTTTTCTTCTTCGGAGAGGTACTCTGATCTTACAGATGACTCTTTGTTGTTTGTTCAAGCTATGGAACTCTCAGGCCCTAGGTGACATCATTTTACTTGCTGATGACGTCATCATCAGTCTTTTTTTTTTTTTTAATATATATTTTATAGAAATATTATGTTGAGTGATCTTTATGTGGTGCATCTTTAATTTGAGGTTGGATTAATAATATTTATATGTAGTACATAGAAGAAAGCATAATTTAATATTTCAAGATCCTCTTCTGTGACAATATATATATATATATATATATATATATATATATATATATATATATATATATATATATATATATATATATATATATATATATATATATATATATATATATATATATATATATATATATATATATATATATATATATGGTGTCTGATTTAAATCCATATATATATATATGAATTTCAATGACAAGAAAAAAAGAAAACAACAAGAAATTCACTGATGAGGATATTGATCAGAATTAGCTAAGCAAAAACTAATTCTTTTTCTAGTTTGTACGAGGGACGAAAACTGTTTTAACAAGTCCGTTTCATGGGCGAAAAATGTATTTTTCCCAAACTATTCATCGATTTAAGATCCACATGATTTTCTTATTTCTCACTACGCAGCAAAGACAACACCGTACATAAACGATCAAGATTCGAGACTAAAAAACAAGAGCATATAACCTCAATGACTTTGTTATATCGATTTAAAATCCACTACTACAAATTCCTTGTATCGAAATGAAGCCTTCAACTCAAACACCAAAAGGGTTTATTTTGGTACATCCCGTTTCGTAAAGAGTACAACATACATAAATGATTTTTAAGAAATACTAAGAATCATTGAAAAAATTGTCATACTGGTTCGTGAATAAAAACGATCGATGCTTGTGGAGAAGCTCTTCGAAAACTCACCAAATCAATCAACATATTCAATCTCTTATCCGTCACGTACAAACCAGGCGTAATACTCATTTCTTCAAGACCAGGCGTGCGTTCGAGTAGATACTTGATAAACTTCATTTCATGTGGCACACCAGAAACATCGGTCAACTTCACGGTTTTCAGCTTGTGAAATGTGCAATCGATTGAGAATTTCTCGTCCCATATTTCCGAATCAGGACTCCGCATCGTACCAGACGTGTTTGAGGAACCCTACAGAAATTAAAAAGACGGGTTAATAAAAGTGGAAGCACCGAGATAATAAAAGGGTTTTTATTATCTTTGGGATTTTTGAGGCAATTAATAACTCACGGAGATTTGGAGTGCTTTCAAATTCGGAGAATGCATAATCAGCTGAAGCACAACGAGAACTTCTTTCATGTCGTCGAAGCTAACTTGATATAACTCGATAAACTTTAATTGGTTATAGGTTATCCGGCTTCTTCCTCTGCCATTACCTATGCTCAGATACTGAAACCAAAGAGATTGATGAACGATTAGTTTATGCAAGCTCGGTAAATCCAAGTTCAACACATTTCAAGAAAATAAAAAAAAGATATGGCAAGAGAATAAGGCTAACCGATTTAACAAAATTTACTGAAACCAATTTTATCACAGATTCCAAACATAAGATAATCACATATTACTTTATAAACAATGTAATCCCAACCGATTTAATCAAAATGTAAATTGGATAAACGAGACATAATTACCTTAGTGAAGTATATATGCCCAATAAGCCTCTCGAGATTGGGAACACCGCCAAGAAGCTTGTCAAAATTGCAGCTCGAGCTTTGCTCGAAGTGCTCCGCAATGTCATCGGTCATGTACATAGCAACGGAAATAGCAACCAAAAGCGGCGTATTAGCAAGGCACAAATCCTTAAACTCGCCTTCCAAAATCAAGTACTTGAGATTCGGGGCCCGCACAGTCAGCTCCAAGCTGTCAAAGTATGACAAAGTGAGACTTTCGAGGAGCGGGCAACTCGAAATCAGACGCTCAACATCGTCCGGTGGAATCAAAACTTGCTGAAGGCTGAGGTACTTCAAAAACAAGAAACCCTTAAAATTCGGAGGGGGGTCCAATTCGCACCGAACGAGCTCCAAACGGGTCAAGTTCTTGCAAGAAAACACACTCGATGGCGCCCTGAACCACTCGCCTTCTCCTAATTCAAGAATCAACTCCTTGACGTCTTTTCGCGAGATGAAGAGGAGCCACTGGTCGATATCCGGAGAGCTCTGCAGATACGAGGTGCAGAGAGAGAACTTGTGAATCGGCCCGTCGTGGAGGAACAAAAATCTCGTAACGAAATTGACGATTATGTGCTGCAAGGCAGTTATGTCGTGGAATTGGATTGCGCTTCTGTCGTTGAATACTAGATGAGTCAGCAGAGCCCATTTGTTCCTCCACCTGGTCGATAGCACGCTCGTTCTTACCGCGTCGCCGATTGGGAGCTTTGTGAGTATGGTTTCTATAATGCCTTGAGGCAGTTCGCTTATCAAATCACGGCCCGTATGCTCTTCCATTGTAACCGTCAACTACGAAAAAACGATCCCCTAAGCAATAAACAGAGACACCACACCAGCATTAGCATATGTTCGAAAAATCATTACAAATTTGGTAATACACGGATAACGCCACAGATCGCCAATCGATTTTCTTCGTAAAGACTGATTCGCATGATTATGGATGAAATACAAAATTAGCAATCGCACAATCTCACAATTTATTTTTCTCTCAACTTCCTCACAAACCGAATACACCACAGCAAAACTACTTCACCACCATTTAAAAAAAATAAAAAAAATTCAGTAATCACAATTCGTTACTCGATTAAATTAAATTAATTTTTTTACAGTAAATAGAAGAAAGAATTGATAGCTGTGATCAAACAAAAACCGCAATACGGCGTATACAGAAGCAGAGAAAAGGGCATAAATGAAATGTACCGTGATAAAGCAAAGCGAATAATCGAATGAAAATAGAATTAGGGCTTCTCTTTTCTTCTCGCGAGAATTTTTGAATCAGCTGATCTTCATTTGTTTCAGAGATTAAGCAGACCGACTGAGGGAAAAGCCATGAATGAATGAATTGGGCAAAAATGAGGTTTTGGCGTGTCAGAAGGTCGGTCGGGATTTACTGAATATTATAATTAATTTATTACTAATACAACTTGGGTAATTGACGCTTTGAGCCCTCAAATTATATGCTTTTGGCACTTTGCACCCTTCAATTAAAAAAATAGCAGAATGCACCCTTTTATTATAATTTTTTTTGGCACTTTGCACCCTCATTTACCTAGTCTTAAGAAACGTAGTTGAAAATAAGTGAACGGTTTTTTTTTTTTTTTTTTTTTTTGAAATATTATAAACATATGAATTTAATTAATTCCATTTTAGTCTACTCTTTTGGAACATAGTTTCCTTATTCTGTTGATTTCGATTAAAATAAGGGCCCATTTGATTATACACCCCTCATATGGAACTTATATAGGGCTAGGTCCACCCCTAAAATTCTTTCTTTGATATAACCCCTGGAGAGGTAAAAGTACTATTGGGCCCTTATGTTCAATTTTTACCCAACTGCATTCAGCATTTTCGCCCCTACATTCAGCATAATGCTGAACTCCATTTAGCATTTTAGGCCTGCATTATCATTTTTATAGATTATTTTAATAAAAATATAAATTCTTATTTTATTATTATTTTTTATATATATCGTATTTTGTATTTTTTTTATTTTTAATTTTTTTTAAGTTTTTAAATTTTTTTAATTTTTAAATTTTTTTAATTCTTTTATTTTTTTTAATTTTTTAATTTTTAATATTTTAATTTTTTTAATTTTTTTGGATAAATTTACTGTACTGAATTGACTATATATGACTACAGTAAACCAAAGTCATGTATAGTTATATGTAATCATGTACTGTCTTTTTACCCCAAAATTAATCTACACCTACAACAAAATTCACAATTTAATCTTGATATTATAAATCAACTAACCCAAAAAAATTGAAAAAAACACAATCACATGCATATAATCTTTAAAACATGAACACGCATTACTATACATTAAAAAACACATAACATACATATAAATATATGTTACTACACGTGACTATAGTTATATACAATTATCTATAGTTATATAAGTGGCATAAGTCCGGAGTACTGTAGCATGAATCCAACTTCACAAAGGCACTTCATCGAATTTTATTCTCTGCATGTCATAAAATTATAATAAAAGCAAAACCTGCGACAAAAAAATACGAGTTAAATAGCAAAATGGAACATGCGAGTTAGGTTACATGAAAAATAAAAAAAAAAACATGATTTTTTTTGTTGATAAATTTACTGAACTAAAATCGACTACAAATGACTATAGTATACTACAAGTCCTATGTATAGTCATGTATAGTTACAAGTAGTCATGACTATACATGACTACATGTGACTGACTATATGTGACTGTATATGACTAAATATAACTGTATATTCACCTGACTCAAATCACCCATGTAAGTAACCATTACTGGTTAAATTTCTATTACAGACAAACTAAGCTCTCACACATTAGGTATTTCAAATCATCTTCAAATAAATACAAAAAAAAATTTACATATATATGATTTATAATAAAAAATCAAATTACATGAAAAATACAAAAAAAATATGATTTTTTTTGTTGATAAATTTACTGAACTAAAATCGACTACAAATAACTATATTATACTACAAGTCCTATATATAGTCATGTATAGTTACATGTAGTCATGACTATACATGACTACATGTGACTGACTATACATGACTGTATATGACTAAATATAATTGTATATTTACCTGACTCAAATCACTCATGTAAGAAGCCACTACTGGTTAAATTTCCATTACAGACAAACAAAACTCTTACACTTTAGGCATTTCGAATCATCTTCAAATAAATTATAATATGATTTATAATAAAAAATCAAATTAATCCAAAGAAAAATATTTTATTATTAATTGTTCACAGATCTTCAAAAACATAGTAGATCTGTGTTTTTTTTATATATAAATGCAGTAAATATATACAAATCGAACACCATCAATTCCAGATCTGAAATTTTAGATCTGACTACACATCGTCGGATCACAATTTAAAATTTTTGAATTTAGTTGATTTTCATAAAAAAAAAACAATAAAATAAGGTGAAATAGTTAAGAGAATTCAGATTTTAAAAAATAAATTAAAAATGGATGTTCATTCATAAATTAAAAAAATAACTTAAAAAAGTGAAGTGAATGGTTTAGTACCGAGTTCAAGGCGGTGGGAGGAACAACGACGGCCGGCACAAGGCCGTGGCGGAGCAGCGACGCAAGGCGGCGGCGGAGCAGCGACGCAAGGCAGCGCAAGGAGGTGAGGGGAGCGACGGCGACGCAATGAGGTGGGGGAGCAGCGGCGACGACACAGAGGTGAGGGGAGCAACGGCGGCGGAGAGCTGTGGATAGAGAGAGAGTTAGAGAGAAAGAGATGAAGAGAGAGAAAGAAAGAAAGAGAAGAGAGAGAGAGAGTCAGAGAGAGAAAGAAAGAGAGAGAGTGGGGGAGTGGGGAGGGGACGGCTGATTAAGTTGTTGGGGGAAAGAAAAAAAAGCTAGGGTTTAGGGTTTTAAATTGTAATTAACAGGGTAAAATGGGTATTTCGATTTGTCTAGGGTGTCTATCAAATTAAGATTAGAATTTGGGTTTTTGACTAAGGAAGAAAAATCCATAGGACTTATCCCTATATATAATTTGGGTTATCCCACATTTCCTCTTAAAATAATTCCAATTTGAAATAACACGTTTCATTCATAATTCTGAAAAGTCCGAATTTTCAATTTGCTTGATTTTTTTTTTGTTTGGAAAAGGAATATAAAAAAAGGATTTCTATTTCGGATTTAATTTTAATTTCTGAAAATAATTTCAAAAATTCCGATCTTCCGACAAAAGTTATATTTCTACCATCAAATATTAAATATGTTAAAATCCCAGAGAATTACGTTCATACTAGGGGTTTTGTGCATAAGTCCCCAATAAAGCATCTTTATTATTCTATGTTTATGAGCTATATATCTTTCACCAATAAGTCCATTCGTTTAATATTTATTATAAATAAAGTAAACATTCATGTATATGCCAATATTACCCTCAATCATTTTGACCAATTTAATCAATTTTGTCCACAAAAATCCAATTTTGACCACACAAATTCAATTTTGACTTTTTTTTTTCAATAATTTTTTTTTATCAAAAAATTCTTTTTTGTTCCGCTGGATTCCGGCGGTCAACGTCGGGCTCCGGCATTGACTTTTCAAAATTGGAGCATATTAAAAATATGCTCCAATTTCATCCTTAACATAATTTAATCTCAATTTGACCCCAAATTTTACAAATTATTCAATTTTGACCCAAAACTTTTTTTTTCAATTTTTTTTTTGATGCCGGATTCCGGCGTTGACTTTTCAAATTTTTTTTCTTTCGGATTTTTTCGCCGGTTTCCGGCGTTGACTTTTTTTTTCTTTTTTCTTTTCTTTTCTTCCGGATTTTTTCGGCGGTCTCCGTCCTTTACTTTTTTTACTGGTTTTTAAGTTTTTGTTCTTTTTTTTTACGTCCGCCGTCAAACGTTGACCGTAATTGTGCTGTCACTGACAGTAAATTAACGTAATTATACTGTCAATGACAGTTAATTAACGTAATTGTACTGCCGTTAACAATACATTTATGTAATTGTTCTGCCGTTGACAGTAAATTAACGTAATATTATTATTTTTTATTTTTTGTTATTTTTTGTTATTTTGTTTGATTTGTTGACAAATCAACGTAATTATATTACTGTCGTTGACAGTAAAATAACTGTAAACACAATAATATTACTGTCAACAACATCAATATTAATATTTTTTTTTGGGTTTTTTGTTTTGTTTGAGTTATTCACGGAGTAACGTAATAATATTACTGTCTATTATTGTAATATTACTGTAAACACTATAATATTACTGTGGTTGACGGTAATATTACTGTTGTTATAGTAATATTGCTGTCAACCACATCTATATTATTATTTTGTTTGATTTTTTTTGTTTGTTTGAGTTATTCACGGAGTAACGTAATAATATTACTGTGGTTGACGGTAATATTACTGTTGTAATATTACTCTATTACACAATAATATTGAGTTTTGTTGTGTTAATATTACTGTGCTAGAGATTAATATAGCAATATTACTGTGTTAAACTGTAGTTTAGTTAATTTCACTGTGTTTAACAGTAATATAGTTAATATTACTGTCAATCACAACAATATTGCTATTTAAACGGAAAAAAAAAGTTACATAAAGAAAGAAAAGAAAAAAAAGAAAAAAAATCGAAAAAGTCAACGCCGGAAACCGGCGAAAAAAAATAAAATAAAATAAAATAAAAAATAAAAATTGAAAAGTCAACGTCGGAATCCGGCGGGAAATTTTTTTTTTGCAAAAAAGAAGTTTTGGGTCAAAATTGAATAATTTGTGAATTTATGGTTAAATTGAGGTTACATAAAGTTAATGATGAAATCGGAGCACATTAAAGTATGAAGGGTTATTTTAGTCATTTACAAAAATCTGGACCATGTGTAGACTTATTGGTAAATAAGTTTTTTGTCTGAATCTCTTTATGAATAAGTACCCATTGGTGGGCTTTTGTAATGACCACTATTATGTATTCTACAACTAATGTGAATAAAAATGAAACTTAGAATTCCATCAATTCCATTAAAAAAATTGATTTCGTAAAAAAAAATCATTCGAATTTCCAAAATACAGATTTCCGACTTTTTCGATTTTTCTTCGAATAAACTTGGAATTAGTTTCTCACTTCAAAATCCAAAATTCCGCTATCCAATTTTTTTCTAATTCTTTTTAGAATGGAAATGGAATTAATTTTCCACTTCAAGAAATATTAAACTCGTTTAAGATTCAAAACGCAATAAAAACGACACCACCACCTAAAATCGAGACAATATGTGTTTTCCTATTCAATTTTAGACTTCTTCTTCTTCATCTTTAGTTACGGATTCTTTTGGATTAATTCAACTCTTTTATTGCGTTTCATTAGATCAAATAATTATCCTATGGTTTTATTCGAACCCTATCTGTATATTGTCGAATTGAATTCTATTATTTATGCTAGTTTAATTTACTCATACACTTATTAATAATTGATTCTCATATGTCAAAGACACATACACATAAGCTATGACTTAAATAAGTTGGACGGTTTGGCAAGACAAAAAGTAAAAGTGGAGTAGAATATATATAACAACAAACATCAACTCCCAAACACAAAATACTTGATTCCCCGCAAAACAGAATAAACTTTGACTACAACTCAACTGGTATTTGTGTGATGAATCTAAAATGAATCAAATAACACTCATTCATCATTTAATTTTAATTTTCCATTACTTAATTAAAAGAACAAACTCTTGCACAAGAATATTTAATTAAAATAAAAAAATAAAAAAAATTCCAGCTTTGTGTCTCTTCATGTATTCACAAACCTGCAGATTTTCCGAACTTCTCCGTTAGCGTAAGTATCAGGATTAGTAATATTCCCCATTTTCACCATGGATTCGGAGAACTGCTCGAAAAAAGCGATCGGATTCTCTGCATATTTTGAAACGAGCTTCTTCGTTTCCATTGCTAGAAAACTGGAATATAATTCTTGATCCGAATTGATCAATCCATCTCCTCGTAAAAGTATTTGGTAATAAGAGTTGTCGAATAAATTCGGAGAGACGTAATCCATTGCTGATTCGTTGTTGTCTGATCCTTTAATAGGCGGACAAATAGATTTCAATTTGTTGAGGTACTGCTGTGAAAGTGGATTTACACTTGAAGTTGACGTAAAATCTCCGTATATTCTGTTCCTGAAATTTACGCATCTTGCCATGCCGATTGTATGTGCCCCTACAAGACATTGTTTTGAGTTTTGAAAACCTTGTACAACAGAAAGGTACGATCGAAAAATCGGAAATTTAAAAAATGGAATTAAAAAAAAATGTTCCAAAACCAGAAATTTTCTGATCGGAATTGGCGGAATACAGAAATTCCTGTTTTTGCATCACATATAACACAAAATACATAATAGACTAATAGTATTGATATTATAAGTGTAATTTTCCGGGAAAAAAATGCGGAATCTAAAAATTGGATTCTAATATTTATTCCAATTCGTTACAAAATAAATATCGAAAAAAAATTGGAAATCGGAATTTTCGGAATTTAGAATGAAAAATATTATTAAAAAGTCGGAAATTCAAAATATTTTTATTTTTATTTTTGAAAAAAATCCTTAATTAATTACCAGAAAGTGCCACCATGTCAGTAACCGAAAGGCCCTGATAAAAAAACTTGGAAATAATGAAAATAAGCCCGTCGTCAGCTTTCGGAAGGTTCGTTTCGGTGAGGGCATAGCCAGCTGTCTTCGAGTCTTTCCTTCCCAGAGGAACATCCCAATAAGGTCCACCAACCTGAATAATGAATTAACATAGCAAATTGATGTTACTCTATATCGTAATTTAAATAAAATGATTTAATTTAATTTAGATGTTGTGTGATTTACGAGAAGAACAGCATCTCTAGCAGCAACGGTGAGAATATCGGCACAAGAAACTATTCCAGGGCACTCGGATTCGAGCCTGTTCTTGATCCTGTCGACTATTCTAAATCCTTTAAGGGCATTTCTGTTATTAGGCGCCTTTTTCTCTCCTCGAAGTGTGATCGTATCGTCTAGCAAAACCGACCCATCACACCCCTGCATCCATTACATTCGTATTAAAAGAAAACCTAAAAAAATTTATAATACGCACAAAAATTATACGAACTATATTTTACGAAGAAGATGACCTGGACAAAGCAATCGTGGAAATGTAACCGGAGGATTAAGGCTGCATTGCGTGGATCAGACAGCACTGCACATTCCATTTCTTTCCGAACGATTTCGAGAATTGTTGGGCATGTGGATTTGTAGTAGTCTAGGGTTAAAGTGGGGCCCTCACTTGCATGCAAGATGGAAAGGGATGTGCAGATTGCTAGTATTAAGCCATGCAGAATTAGCCCTTTCGAGTAAAGAGACGAAGATGATGCCATTTTCTTGATGTTCTTCGACAAGTTTACGAGTAGATTATATAAGTGAAAAGAATGGATGCCTTTTGAGTGTAAATTTGTGAAAAATATTTAGTCAATAGAGGATGCAACTACTAGTTGGTTGATTCTCCCAAACCTAAAGTTAAAAAAAAAAAATAAAAAAAAATAAAAAGAGGAAACAGAGTTGTACCTTGTTTCAACATGACTGTACATTGAATTTGGGCAATCAACAAACAATGGAAAGTGTTTCTTGGATTTTACTGTGAGGTTGTGAACGGTAGAACTATTATTGACTTATGATATGCAAATCATTTCTTTCTCAACTGCTTCATAACAATAAAGAGTTAAACCGTTGGATGAATGATCTAAGCTGAACTAGTAAACGCAACAATTCGTAAAGAAAAAGAAAAACAGAACACCTGTAATAACTTATCGAACAAGACAGAGATCTACGGACGCTGCTCTTGCATATACTTAAAAAGGATACAATGTGTCATATGCAGATTGACCCCTCTCTGCTAAATTCCTTGATATAACTTCATAGAAAAGATTCTGGACCATGGTTCGTACAAAAATTCATGTAATAAGATAGTTAAATCCGTAAAAGATTACAACTCAACCGATTCTAATTTCCGAAAATAAAAGGGCAACTAACAATTCCAAAAAGATCAATCATGTGTAGAGATCAGAGTCGACACGATCCTTTCTGCGGCTCAATTTCAAGTACTCCGCCTCGTAATCTCCATCATCACTGTAACTAACCCCAGTTAAGACATCCTTAACCAGCAGAGACTTAACCAGAGTCATAACCGGAACACCTAAATCAGGCCAAGAAACGCACAGAGTTCCCTTAATCTTCTTTAGCTCACACCGACTCAGTAAAGCAGCACCCAATCCATCCACCACACTGCCCGACGGATAATAATCCAACCCTTTAACCACCGATGAATCGCCAGCTGTCAAATTTCCTCTTTCTGATGATGTCACCAGCTTGAAGGCAATTGCCTCGTCAGACGAAAGCTTCCCGCGAAAGTTGCGCCTTTCAACAGAATCAAGAATCAAAACCCTCCGAGGGTTTATCTTTCCACCAATCAGAAGCTTCGACACTGCATGGGCTCTCTCTGAAGTGACGGAAAATTGGACCAAGGCAATCATGATGGTTTCGTCAGCTTTTTCGTTGAGGGTGTATATGTTGCATGATTTGTCTTTGAGCGAGGGTTTAGTGGAGTTACCGGAGAACGGGATTTCTGGGAGAATAAGTGTCCCGATTAGGGTTTTGGGGGATAAGTGGTGTAAGAAGTGAAGAGATGGGGAAGATAAGGCGATTATAAGAATTGAGGGGCAGAAAATTTTGGTGGAATTCGGAGATGAGAATACGAGGAACGGAGACGGGAGGTGAGGTGGCCGAGGAGTGAAGTTGTTCAGATCTTCCAACAAGAATCTTGATGGTGGTGGTAAGTCTGTTATTACATCATCCATCTCTTCTGTTCGAGTTCTATTATAACCTGAAATTTCGTGCAACAGGGTATCAATATCTATTAGGACAAAAATTAATTATAGAGACCCAATCAATTAGTAATTATAAATTGAAGTACAAAGGAATTGAGAAGCAAGCTAGAAGAAATACATGCAAGGATTACACGCGACATATTTGCAGATCAAGAAGTCATAAAACATCTAAAAAATGTCTCGACAAAGTCATATATTAGTTGCTAATAAGAAACTGCAAATTAGCATCAAGATGTTCTCCAGAATGAAGTGAAAATTTGCAACGCTGCATTGTACACTCAATTACAAGCTTCCTGTAAATTTTACACTCGCTATGTGCTACGAGCATATTTTCAAATCAATGTGCTAATTTTCAATAAGCTGATACACAACTAAAAAAATTCTTTTCGTTTATGATTGTCGTTGCAAATTCCGAAGGAAAAAAAATATTACAAGCAATAATTATAGCATTCGACCACATTGACGGTGCCATTCGCCACCAACTTAAAAGAATCTACAGTAATCCATTTTTTCTCATAAAGCTATACAAATCTTTAGTACTGAACCTGTGAGCCAAGGTTCATCCCATTATTTTTAATTTTTTTTTATCAATAAGGCTTTGTCAACAGAACACAATAATTAAGCTATAACTAAAAGGAAAGAGATTAGGGCAAAACATTTTGCCTCAAAACTTAATTTATTTGAGGTATATTTCTCCAGAATAAAATGAGCCTTTTTAAATAACCAAATCAGAGAATAACGAAAATGCGGACCATTAATTATCTGTAGCTAAGCACAAAATTAAGTAATTTTTCTACAGTAATTTCATCATTGAAGCAACAAGAGTATGGACAAAAAGAAAAAGAAAAGGGGAAATCAACAGGCATACAATTGAAGGAAAAAAAAACGAATAAATTATTAACGAAAGAGGATGCAGTGAAAAACCTAATTGAAGCGACGGCGGCGGTGAGACTGCACGGTAGCTGACGGCGGAAGCGTTTGGCGGCTCGGTGAAGAAGAAGAAACAGAGAAGGTGAAAATTGAAAAATGAAAGGAGAAATATTTAAGCGAACATAACTTTTGGGGCAAGATTTAAAATATGCTATTTTACCAAACAAGATCTGCTTTTTCTTTTCTTTTCTTTTTTTTTTCATTTTAATTTTGAATATCTCATAATATGAAAATTGTTTTTCTTTTCATTCATTTTTTTTATAAACATAAATCAATTTTTCTTTTAATTATATAGTTGCAATGTATAAGATGTTTTATCTCAAAATACAAATAAACATTAATTTATTTGTTTATCCAAATTCTCCTCTAACCGAAATCGAAATCTAAATTGTTAAATGTTGTTTTATTTTGCTATCCGAACGTGATTTTGACTATTTTCTAATATGATTTTAGCAAAATATAAAACACGTAAACTGTAGCCCTTTAAGTTAGCTTTATAATCCAATTTGAATAAGCTAGACTGAATGTTTGATGACAAAGTTATGCATAAATTAATTACATATTGAATTTTAGATAACTCAAAACTTCGAAGTTATAGACACTGTTCATTGATTCACTCATATCTTTGTCACCTAATTTCAAATTTTGGTTATTCAAATTGGATTGTAAAGCAAATAACTACAAAACCCGTATTTTGAGTTTTGCTAAACCCGAACTTCAAAATAGTCAAAAACATCTGTAAAATCGAAAACTCGAAACGCTATTATTAAAACTTCAAACGACGTTTATCACATCCCGACCAATACTCATGAGTTATGACATTTCACAGCACTCAGTCAATCTTCGTGCAAATCTTCATCTTCAGAATCTGCAAATTTTACAAATAAGTACTTATTACAGCAAACTTCGAAAATCCATAAAAAATAAATTTCGAAAAAACACTAAATAAATAATAAAAAAAAATCAGGATTTACATACCAGATCGAACATCGTCGCTGACCTGTCCGCCAGCTCGGATTTGATTGGCCAGCATTCGAAGCATCAACACCCACCAGTAGATATGAAGAACAAGCAAAGAGTAGAGAAGTGAATTGAATATGTAGTAATACAATGGTCCATCCAATTTGTGCTTCTCTTTATCCAAGTACTCTATAACTTCATAACTGCCACAATTTAAATCAATTTCAACAATAATATTTCAAGAATATAAATTATAAATTAAAAAAAAAACAAAATGATTTCAAGAATTAACCTTGTGCTCCACAAAATCCAGAAAGGGTAGTAAACGAGACGAAGAAGAGTGAAGAAGAAAACGAAAAGAATAAATGAGCAGCTGGCGATTGCTTCCGCCCCACTGTACTTGGACATTTTTCCTAAACACGTCGGTAGCATCGTGTACAGCTAATACAACCGAACCCACACGAGCAAATCTGCAAAACATAAATTATTAATTCCAACATTTTTTCGTTGTTCATGTAATAGTTATTTAAGCTAATATAATACCTGAATATATATACGATAACACGATAAGAAGGGACGATGCAACATGATGGCCCATAGAAACTCCAAAATCGGAGCGCTTCGTTTCCCAAAATAGCAACGCGAATATCGAATATGTGTAGAATCCACCTGTATACATATATAGGCCCTTCAGTTTTAACCTGGCCAATAAATAAAAAAAATCGATTAAAAAAAAACTGATTTCCTTGCACATTAAGGGAAAAAAAAAAAAAAAAGAAGAGTAGGGAAGCTTACTTATATTTTTGGTCGGGCCAGGCCTGATCTTCGGGCCCTTCCCAAAAGTATCTAGTCTTAGTGAACCAAGGCTCGTTATAGGTTACAGCGAGTGCGAAAAACTCGGCTGAGAGAAAATATACGCATTTCCATGCTGACTCCTTGAATTTTTCAATCTTCTTTTTTCGCTCCAAGGTCTCGTTTTTCACCACTTGCATTTCTTTTCCAAATATTAGTCGTCTGCCGATTTTCTGCACCATAAAATATATATAGTCTAAATTGAGTAAAAGATCCAGAAAATACGACAGATAAAAAGATTCAGCTATGCAATTACAACCATTTCGAAGAAAATGTAGTTTCGATTGTGCGTAATTTGTATTTTCAGAGCAACGGCTACCGAAAAAAAAGCAACTTTATCAGCTTACGAATAAACTAAATTTTTCAATGTATACTCGGTACTAGCCGTCGGCTACCATATATATATATATATATATATATATATATATATATATATATATATATATATATATATATATATATATATATATATAT